GGGAGTTTTGCGGTAGTTTAAAATGTTTGATTTTTCCAGATACCTTCATTCGATGCTAAGCCAGATCTGTTCGTCGGGCCAGAAAAGTAATGTAATGATACTTCTGCGAGCTACTCAGACCGTGTAAACAGGAGTGTGTTGGACGCGCTACGCTGTTAATTACACATGTTGTATCCTGCCAATCTGTTACAGACGTTCGGGAACCGCATACTGGGTGTTATGTCCTGGCTGATGCCACTGGCTGTCACATTGTCCACCTTCGGCGCTGCCAACGGCACCTGCTTCACCTCGGGAAGGTAGGCAAGCTGGCAGCACACTCAGGGATCGACCGCTGCCCCTCTGGTGCGTAAACTTCAGGCCTATGAACGTTGACCCGGCCAGGATCACGGTGTGCTTAACTGGGGTGAGGTTCTGTGTATTCGAGGGATGGTTCTGACATGGTCTTACGTAGTATTAAGTGAAGCTTTCGAAATAGTGAGGCATGCACTTTGCCATTGGATAATGCACGCATGCCGTCATTTCAAAGCATGTTTTGAAGCTACCCAAGGAGAACATCGGAACTGAATTGACGATGCGTCAATGAAATGTTCCTGCCTCAAGCAATTAGACCAGCTTTATATCAGCAAGAAAGGTCTTCAGCTCCTCATTTTTCGGCGGCTCAACCTTTTTTACCTGGATCAGAAGCACGGGTTGAAGCGCCGGGTGCTACACATATAAGCTATGTGTGCTCTGTAACGCCGTTTTACCAATACCCCTGGTATTCTGAAGGTCGATGACTTAACATAAAAACACCTCACTCATTAACACTGAGACAAATGCCCAAAAGTGTAGCAAAGGGCGCGCGTCTGTAATGCGCCGCTGGGCTCCGACACCGTGGAACTCGTACATCGCCCGGCAGTATGAAACCCAAACAAGCCATGTCAGAGCGCCTCGTTAATGGACGCGCGGCGTATTTCACGAGAATATGTTGCAGGTCTTACGGCGTTGACGGCCACGTGGACAGCGACTTCTAGCGCGTCTGCCGCGTCCAGACCACACTATATCTGGGGCAGGCTTCCGAGCTCCGGTTGCGTCACGGGGGTTCATGCGGTTCCCTTCGAGGCGCACATGAATGACAACTGGATTCAACCGGTGTCGAGCGTCAGCGCTGGCAGGCTCGGTCTGTGTGCTTCCTGACCTCTGGCCAGCGGCGTGCTCCGCGTTGAGAGAGGGACAACGCCAAACCCCAAAGACCGCAACGTCGAACAGCGCTGGCTCAAAGAGCACACTGCATTATCGTTGCCTGTCGTCAAGACGCGGCGATTGACCTACGACGCATTGTTTCCGAGCCCCATGCGGGCGCCTGAACCCGGCATTGTTACTCGGATCGCCCGAGGTGCTTCATGCCCCCCGGTGACGGCCGACCTTTAGCAGCCGTACAATCGTCGGGTTGATGCACTTGGGAGGGGGCTCACATGATCCGGTTCTCTCATGGTAATGTACACATCAAATGCTGTAACGGACAGGAGTGTTATAGCGATGTGGTAGCGTTTGCACGGAGGATTAGTTCTTAGTTATTTTGCATCGAGGCATCTTCAAAAAAAGGAGCATACAAAGCCAAGCACAAAATTACCGGGCTCAGTTGTTAGGATAACCTGCGAACCAGGCCGGGAGTTTGTGGCGCAAGCGCTGAGTGGAGAAGGTTGAGAGGCTTTGGTTGGGGCTTCACAGAAACCCCATGTCTTTGAAAGCCTCAACATATCCGGATAAAACCGGTTTAAGCTCACGCAAACTGCTTCATGAGCATCGTCAGTCGATATCTGAAGTTTGAACCGGTCACGGAACGGTCTGCAGCCACGACTGCCAATGATTGGAGCCAATGATTATGGCCCCACTTGCATCAAAGCCAATTGTTCTCTGGATTGTTTCGTTTGATTACAGTGGCCGTGTTCAGGTTCGGCTTTCCGTTTTAAGAACACGACTGGGTACCATTCCAAACAAATAAACGCAGCAAAGCTTGTACGGCATGCCTATTTAGATAACTGCCTTTCATCGAGTTACTGCGCTATCCCCACTTAAGCCGCATATTAGGAACAAATGGTTTTTCAGTGTTACGGCGATGTTCCCATGTCGGTGGTTTCATTGGACCGCGATGAAAGTGCAACGCCTCTCTCGGTCTCTCTCTCTCCCGAAGAATCTGTCGGTCGCCTCGTCGCAATCACCTCGATGCTTTCCGCTTCACCGCGATTTAATTTATATTCTTATGTTAGGGACCTCGACTCGAATATTGCAATGTTTTCCATCAGACTGCGAGGAAATTTAGGACTCCATGGATACAAGAGCTGCTGATTTTACGACGTTCATTGATCTGCCGACATGCCGCCCTTGAAAACCCATCCGGCTGTCAACCAGCTAGCCAACATCAACAGGCCACCGTCATTCTGACCTACCCGGCTAGTTTTACCTGTGGCATGCCCGCACAGCTCCCTGCCAGCCGCGCCCGGTCTTATGGATCACTTGTTCGGTGGAGCTGCGTCGCACCTACTCTGTTTTTCTATCGCAAGCATCTCGCGGGAAAATCCAACCTGCTCAACCAGCGCCCAGCACAAAGAACATAAGTTCAGCGAAACCAGGGCCTCATCTGCCTTCTCTGAAGTCTCATGGATCCCTTCCCCTCCCTTAGTGGAGGCAAAAATCGCCTTACTGGGAGACAGGGAAGTCACATAGCATACGATTCGTTTTAGTCTCTCGCAAACATTTGAAGAGTGCTGTCTTTCGCCAGGCAAAAGTGGTAGCAATCTAATGTTGGGTATGTCTGACTCTGACGAGATCGCATAGACCCTCTGTCAAATTTCCTGAAAGTAGGCCCGAAGGAGGGCGTGTCTTCTAAAGCGCTGTCCGTTGGTTTCCAGGCTGTGCTACGCCGCCGCCAGACAAGGTCACCTTGTGGACGTGCTCAGCTTCGTACATGTCCGACGTCTAACGCCATCTCCCGCCCTCATCTTCAACGTGAGGTTTACGGCTTTCTCGTCGCGACTCCTGATCCATGGAGCCCCCAGACGTTTGGTAGCCAAGGCTCGTGTGGCTCGCTTAAAGGCGTGAGGGGGGGGGGCATATCATCCAGCTGAATATGTTCGTGCCTTAACATTATATTGCACGTTTGATACGCGCTGGAAGATTCCACTTCTGATCGTGTAGTCTTATTGCTTTTATCTGGTGTTTTATCTGGAAATTGATGTTTCCGCCAGGGTGGTCGACGCGGTACATCTCATGACCCCGTCCACTTATACTGCCCCCTAAAATTATCGCTGCCGCCGCCTTCTACCTTTGCCCTTATCGGCAGGCCATCATCGCCATCGCCATGATCGCGGCCGGCGACATTGGCAGCCTGATCGACTTCTTCAGCTTCACCGTCTGGATCTTCTACGGCATGGCCATGCTGGCGCTCATCATGATGCGCAGGACCAAGCCCGACGCGCCCAGGCCCTACAAGGTTGGTGCCGCTGCCTCTGTCCGGCCTCGCCCGCGCAGCTCCGGCGTGAAGGCCTGACCTCGCCCCTCCCCGCCGCTGTCGGGGAGTCCCCTCAGACCCGCTCGCTGCTGGGCGTTTGGCGCGCACTGTTGGTCGGACTGGCGCGTGCTGGGGTTTGGCGCAGGTGGCTGTCAGAGAGGGAGAGCATGGCCGCCCGCTCGGTCTCAGCCCCTGCCCGGCCGCTGGGTTGCAGCTCAGTTGCGCCGCCCGGACGGCGTTTTGGTGGTGGGCGCGTGCGTTTTTTGTCTGTGCCGGCCGACCCGGCGCCGATGCTGGCGGACCGCCTGGTCGCTAGCTCGTGTCCCACACTGGCTCGTGGTTCTTTCAGGAGGTGCTTTGGTCGGTCGCCCGTCCAAAGACGCAGCGGGGCGACGGCGTCTCTCGGTCGAGTCGCCGTCCTGCGCATGCGCAGGGCGGGCGCACCTGGTAACTAATCGCCACTTTTCTGTAGAGATGTCGTTTTCAGGGAAGGAAGAGTGTGCAGCCATTTCGTGAGCTTCCTTCATAACACTTCGTGCATCCACCATGGTAAAATTGTTCGTGTACTGAACTGGGCAAGGCCAAACCAATTTAAACGTGCTCTATAATTTCATTTTCTAAAATGTTCCATTTCATTTCGAGATCATGCACTTGTTTTTCTTACGGGTATGGGTGGCGGTGCAAGATGGTGCGCTGTTAGTTGTATTAGTCACTGAATGGTCCAACTCAAAACACAATAGCAGTCAATTAAGAAATATGTTGATATCCTTATGCTCATAATCTTGTGATATATGTGCGTAAATGTGTCTCATAAACGTGCGAGAAGCTCTTTAAATTGCGGTTTAGGTTCTGTCACCTTTTTCGTTGCTTTGAGCATAAGATTACCAAAACGTTTCTTAATTTAAACAGCAGTGCTTAGCAGCTACGCACTTCACTACATACAATAGCAGTCGTATTAGTCTGTAGTAATTTTCCCGAAAGCTCATCAAAACATATTTGAAGCATTTTGAAGTGTTTCGAAGGAGTCTGCAGGAATGCCTGTGCTGAGTGTAATTTCCGTATTTTATTCATCCGCAGGGCAGCCCCAATTCAGCAAGAATGTTAAAGCAGTAAACTCGGGGCTAAAGCAGCGTGTGCTGCCACGTATTGTTGCTTGGTAACACGGATTTTCTGGTAGGGTTCCTGGAAGTGCTGTAAAATGCTTTAAAATGTTGAACGATAAGCTTTCGTGAAGAGGACTGTGTCTAAAATGTATGTTAGCTGCGATTTATTAAATGTGTGCCATGTAGAAGGACCATTGACAAAATTTTGAGTATTTTTAGCATACAGTCAGGTGGCTGTCTTTAGAAGATTTGTCCGGGGTCGTATGGGTGAGGACCCTTGAAACCAGGGTTCCAGTTTGCATAATCATGAAATGATATCGGAGACGTAGTGCCACAAATGGTTATTTAAACGTGAATACCACGTCAACAAGGTTTGGTAAATCAAAGCGCAAAGTAACAAATCACATTCAACCACTGCCCTCTTGGGACTCTGGGAATTGTATCGTTAAACTCTCTGCACTTTTTTGAATCGCACAAACAAAGGACTAGTTCCTGTTCGTGTAATGGCCATTGCGCGTCCACATGCCAACAACCTTTGCTTTAAACGTAAGGATGCCCTCAGCGAACTTCGCTTCTCCTTACAAAAACTCGCGTCAAATAAAGAAATAGCTTGCAGACCAATGTAGCCCGGAACGTCACGACATTTGAACTGTCGTTTACCGGCGAAACCCCGCCAGCGCCGGACGCCCATGACTGGCCGCCGGCCGGCCACGGCGGCGCGGCTGCTATCGTCGTCCCCGCCCTGGGGTGCCGGGATCCCCCCCCCCCCACCCCCGCTGGCCCGCCCCCCGGCCTGACACGCGCCGCCCCTCACCAGGTGCCGATCGTGATTCCGTGGCTGGTGCTCTTCATGTCCGTGTACTTGGTGGTGGGCCCGATCATCGACGCGCCGCAGATCGAGTACCTGTACGCGCTGGCGTTCGTGCTGGCCGGCCCGCTCGTCTACATACCGTTCGTCCACTACAAGTGGACGCCGGGCTTCATCCGTGAGTGGGGCTGAGTCCCGCCTGTGGCCGAGGTCGGCCTGGCGGAGCTCATTGGGCTGACGGGGCTTGGCTGTTTTGCTAGGGACGGACCTTTTGCAGGAGGGAGCTATGCGCGAACACAAGTCATTTATGTAAACAACCAAGTTATTGGGTCGTTTGTTGAATAAAGTCATGACAGCGACGTAATTTCCTACAACTCGGATAGAGCTGTGCTCTTTTGCGTGTGAGCGTGCTGGATCGGCGAGTGTCTGCTAATTTGATCTACGGTTTTTCTGTACTCCTAGTCTTACATCATGCTGGAAAATATGTGAGCCACTGCATGGCAACATTCTGCACACGAAACCGGACGAAGCAAACTGACATGCGATTGGTGTGTTTCAGACAAGATCACCCTGTTCCTGCAAAAGCTGTTTGAAGTCGTGCCGACCAGCTACGACGACTAGTTGGTTGCGGGTCTGCCACATGGGCAGCGGAGGACTCAAAAATGCCACTGCATGAGCCACCTCCGCATGGTCGCGCGCCATCTGCGACGGCTGGGGTTCGGAAACGACCCTCATCAAGACTTGACGCAGACCAGAGGCTGTGTCCTGTGTCCTCTGAGATTTCGACCGGCAGGTCCTGATCACAGCAGCTCGCTTGACGGCCGGCTGGCTGCGGAGGATGACTGGTGGTAGCGCACGTGACGTTAGCGGGCTAATGCCGGCTGAGGCCGGGTGCATCAAGAGCGGCACTCCGATTCGGGCGGGCGTCTTTCGTTGCCGCGCGGTGTCCCGGCCGTGTCTTTGGTGGTAAAGTGGCTCTCAGTTTGCCCAGAAACCATTTGGGCTACAGCTGCCTGTCTTTAGTGGGAGAAAAGGAATGCCTTGTTTTGTCTTGTGCGGACGGCTGTTAATCATCATGGCGTTTCGAAACGCATGACCGTCAACGGCAAGCATCTGCATCTATGTGAACACTGTATGTACATCACATGTACTCCTCTAGCTTTGAAGCTCACCGATTCAACCGCAAAATTCCCCTCACAAAAGCGGGCCCGGAGACACCGTGCCACATCTGAGGAGGTCTTTCGTGCTGACATCGCGCTCAAAACAGACGCGGTCTTATCATTCCGAGATGGTCTTGACCTCGGCGCCAGTGGCCTCCAGCTGTCCGGGGTTCGGTGGGGTCCGCGGCGCCGCGCCACGGCCCAGGCAGACCCCGGCCCCGCCCTCCAAGCCGCATCAGTGATCCTTCTACACACACCCACTAACGAAATCGCGGCCTGGCCGCGGCGGCCGCCGGCCGCGCCTCGGCCGTCCTGCCGCGGGCGACCCCAACTCGGCGACGCGTCAGCCCGATGAGGGCCGGGCGGGCCCCGCCCGGGCCCAGCAGGCTCCGGCTCGGCGGGCCCTGGCGGGGCTCACCTGAATGAGGCGGACTGCCGCTCGGCGCTGAGGGGCCTCCCGCGCCGGGCCGGCTGGGGTGGCCGGCGGCCTCCGCGGCCTCTTCTCTTGCGCAACGCCACTTTGTTATTTTTGTATTGTTACCCGAGTATTTTTGTATGTGGCGGCTGACCTCCGCTTCGGCTGGCTTCCGGGCGGTCGCGTAGCGACGAGTCCGGCGCGGCCGGCGGCAACTCGTCCGGTTTTAAATGTGATTAGGGGCTGCCGGGCCAAGCAGCGGACTGAGAGGCTGCACGTGGCGGCGGGCGGCGCGACCCTCCTGTATCGGTGGCCGGCGATGGCCCCCTGGTAACGTCTGACTTAGCTCTCTCTCCACGTGCAACATAGTCACGGTAGAGGATGTACAGGGTCGTAACAGTGCTGGGTTAGCTCGAGTCTTAGAGTTCCCTGCTTTAGTATAAGTAGATAGACGCTCTGTTTTTCCGTTTCGTGTTCTCGCGAGGCCTTTAGGAAAAGGATCATTCCCTGGCCGCTAAGCGTGGACGTCTGTTTGAGTCCCTCGAACCGCCCCCACTAGTGCAGCAGCCAGCCGCTAGGGCCGGCGCGGCAGCGGCGTGCCGACGCCCCGCCCCTCGTGCCGGTAGACCGCCATGTGCTCCGTAGGACCGGTCCGCTGACGTCGAGCCCCGTCGAAGTCTGCGGAGCGGAGTGTGCCGCTGTGGCTGGCGGCGCTTCAATGTGAGTGAACCGGGATCAACAACTTGTGGTCAGGTCGTGCGGCTGTTAAGTGCTCTCCGGTAGGGAGGCTCTGGCTGCGCCGCAGAAGGCCGGGAGCCGCGTCAGCTTCGCCTGGTTGACGGCAGGCGGCGCTCGTGGCGCCAGTGCTGTTGTTGGCAGGCGCGGTGCCGTTTGGGAGGCCTGCAGATGGATTGCGTCGGCCGGAGGTCGTGTGCCGATGGCCGAGTCCACCCTGGCGGGGGCAGGCTCGAAGTCGGGGCGAGCGCGGGTGTCTGGGGCCTGCCGGGAGCCAACAGACCGTCGCCAGACGCTCGTGAAGCGGGAGACGTCACGGCGCCGGCAGAGTCGGGGCGTCGCAGGCACCGGCATGGGCTCAACTATCGAGTGCACGCGGGTCGGGGGGCAGGGCGCGGTGGTGAGTCCGCCGACCGGAATGGCTGGAGGGAGGCAGACTAGCTGCTGTGTTAGCCGATGGGTGCGTGGGTGATCGTGGCAGGACTCCGGTGGTACCAGTGCAATATCGCCCCAGCGCGATGGGTTGTAACCGCTTTGCAATGATGCAGACTTGTGGAGTGCAAGGTTTGCTTTCTGATGCTCTTTGTTATTCAATAAACGTGTGTGACAATAAGGACTCTCACGAACTAGCATCGAGTGTGATTCGACACAAGAGGGCCCTGTGGCAAGCGCCTATAGACGCGTCAACGAGCGCGCGCCTTTGTGGCGTTCCGTCTTCAGTTGTCATATAGCCGTGCACATAACGTGTACCAGCGCAAATACCGTAATAAGCGCAACAACTGATATGAGTGGTTTATATGGCATTAACAATGCATAGCGATCGCACATCTTGACGAACAAATAACCAATCATGATTAAACCGTTATTCGAGCATTATGCAAAATTGATATAAGATGCAAACCAACGAATGACAGCTAACACTTCCTCTGATCCCACTGGTCACATCGGTGTCGATACAGCTCGCGTTTGTTTTCGAAAGTTTGTTCTGCCTCGTCTGCTGCCTGTTACGGCTGCTCGGTCGCCGTTCGCAGCCAATGGCATCACCCCTCCTTACCCCTCCCCTCCAGCCCGTATCGATCGGAGCCCGATGCGGCGCGTTGCGTTCGACGCTGGCGGGTCACGTGACGCCGTGACCGTCGCCTCTCGCGGGCTGACGTCACTTGCTGCGGAGACGCTCTCCTCACGGCTCCGCTCGCAGGTGACGTCACCTGTCCCGCAGCCCGTCGACGTCGACGGCGTGGGCCCCGAGCACGGCGCTCCGGCAAAAGCAGGCGGCCACGGCGCGGACGGCGGGTCGGCGCATGCGCAGTGGCCGCGCCAGTCGTGGAGTGCGGCTGACCGCGGAGGGTGTGCTCTCGGCGAAAGCTCCTCTGATGAGCTTGGAATGGGTGCGAGAAGGGAAGAGTGCAGCTTGGTACTCATAAACTGGTCGCCGCTCGTGCCGACGCGGCACATTGTGGTGACGTGCGCCGCCATCCTCTTCATCTGCATCGGGTCAGGTGGGTTGATGTCGTCGTCAGAACAGTGAGTTGTTTATGTTGCTTTCTGTGCACAGCTCAACTTAGTCTGTCTTGGCTTCACAATCAGTGGTGATCAGCGCGATCTGTGTCGGCTAAGTCGCGCATTTTCTCCACCAGCACTGCAAGGAATTGCACTGTTTTTGTAAGCCGTGTTAACTGTAAGCCGTATTAACTCGAGATGCCTCTCAGAAGCTCACCAGTCTTCAGACGACGAGTGTGGACATGCTTTCTGCCGGTGACGCTCGGCGACAGCGGTGAACTAAAGGGCGGTGCGTCCCACCTGTGCCAGTCGGGGGCAGTGACAGCTGGCTATCGATTGGCGACGGACGCGTGTATCGCTGCGTGTCTGTCGAGCTATAAGACCCGGCACATCTGAAGCACCGTAGAATATGACGCGGTCATGTTGTATGATGTTAGAGGGAAATCAGGGCGGCAGTGAAGCTGGAAACAATGATCGGTTGATCTACGCATATATAAATTACCTCGGGTTTGCATACTTCCCTTTTCAGTTTGGGAAAGGACTTTAGCAGCCCCCTACCCCAACTTCGAGAATAAAGCGGATCACATCCAGGGAAAACACATTTTGTGTATCTTGGTGGCATGTTAAGTCATTTTCCCTTCTTAGCCGCACCATGTTGTTTTTTGCAAAGCTTCGTCGCTGGGCTGTTTGCAACTGCCGGATTTCATCCAAGAGCAGCTTGGGCTCAACACAGATCATCTGGATGAAACGTCGTCTGTGCTGCGCAGGTGGAGTTCAAACTGCCACTGG